GTTGATTGACATGCTCTTATGGTATTTATACAACTGCGCTTAGTGTAAACAGAGAGAAGGCCGCTAGAGATTGCATGAGGTAGGAATAGAAATGAAGGAAGCGGCGCGGGTAATAACTGGACAGTAGTTCAATAAATAATAAGAAAGATAATATCTGAGTTGTATTTGCTACCTCGCGTAACATGACGAAGACAAGCCAATAACTTCGTCACAAATGGTGGAGGATGCGAAATATAAACATAGATGTTTGACATCATGAGTCTTGTCGGAAAGAGAGAGAACGATCACCGGACGAAAATACGCAGGCGAACACAAAGTATCTAGATGGGAGATTGGAATTGGACAAACAAAAAAATGGAAGGTAAGACAATTGCTTTAAACGATTATTTTAGAAAATGCTATTTGCGATATTTAGATGACTTTATGGTAGCCAGTCACAATTTCAAATATTGCCTTAGTGAGGTAAACATAGTTTTACGAAGGCTGAGAAATGCAAACTTACCATTATATGAATAGTTTCACTGCTCGAGACGAGGTCAGGTATTAAGGGTTCATAGTTTCAGTAACTGATATTCGCGTTGACAAAATGTAAGGCAGTGCCAGAATTCCATGCCCATTTGAATGTAATCGAATTGCTAGAAGTAATGCATTATTGGTTATTGAATTTATCCCCTAACAGATTTCAATTAAGCAGAGTAAAGGTAAACACCTCGCGAATGCTTTTTGCGATTAACCGCCGCCCTTACCATGAGGGAAACGTTGAAGAATAAGACTTAGAAAAACATAATGACCCTGCACAGTTTTTTTAATGATGCATGTTTGAACAGAATGCATACGTTCACTATCTCGACACAAGTACTTTAAATTAAATTAAATTAAATCAAATCAGGGTGGCTACGAATTTAAAGGTCTGGAATGCTTTTAACAGTTAGAGAAAGGTGACAAAAATATGACATTGTCAAAATGTCAAGATTGCGAGGCACTTGTTTTATAGAGAAATTGTATTAAAAACTCCAACGTAAAGATAAAAACCTTGCGTCAATTATCACACACTTGACATCAGATGAACTTCTACTTAGTTGCTGAGGCGCTCGGCTTCTTGTTGTTAGAGATAGGAGATAACGTGATAATTGATGGCAGAAATCACCCCACCCAGGAGGTTCTTTGCAACTTGTTTTTCAGACAAGTTAGAGTACAAAGTTTTGTCTAGTTTACACGACAACGCAATCGGTCATAAGGTTATTCAAAACACGTAGTTACTATTACGCACACGAAGTATTTTTTAGAAAAGGTCATTTACAAATGTCATTATGTTCGTTCTTGTGTTGAATGTTTGACAAGGAAAGTTCCTCCAAAATAACTCCAGGGCTTCGTTGCTAACTTTGCCCATAAACAAAGAGAGTAAAAAAAAAAAAAAAAAAAAAAAAATAGAAAAATGATGAAAAACGAGAAAATGAGACTGCAGGACAAGCGAATTTGTCCCAGACCACTGATGAATTATTTGAAGTAAAAGACTTACGAGGTCGCGTCAGATAAAAAGTTGAAGCACAGTCTCTTATTTAGTGGAAATGGATTCCCTTTTGGTTGGAATATTAGGGATCCAATTAAAAACTAAACGAGGCGACATTAAAGGGAATAATATAAGAGTAAAGGAAAAGAAGAAAATATATTAAGTCGTGTGTTAATGAAATAGAACACGCCTGTTTAAAACAGACAGCAGGATGGGAGTAGCAAACGTGACGAAGTTGAATTCTAATTGGGTAGAATTAAGATATTTATAAAGAGACTATTTTAAAGTGATGTCATTAAACTTTTTATGGAAAATATTAAAAGATGCTCTTAAATTTCAATGCCATTGACGTTTGTTTTTAAACATGTACGCTAAGTCTTTTCTAGGACAATACTATTAGGAGTTCAACGGCGATATGGTTGTCCCTCATTTTCCCTCGGAATCCGTAAAAGATTCACGTAAGTAAGCGTGAGTATTGATTAAAGAAATAATTTGAATTGGTTGTAGACTCGTTATAAAATTTGTTTGGTGAATATATATTGTATGTCTTATATTTTCCGTTACCTGCTAATTTAGATAAATATAAACATTATTCATTTTTTTGATACTTCTAAATTCATTTCCGTCTACATTTTATGCATCTATTGACCTTAAGATTTTTACAGGTTGCGGAATATTTGAAGAGATGCCAACAGCTGAGATATCTCACTTCACTGTTGAAAAATTCGTGACAAGACGGAGAAATGCATTTGAAAATATTTTGTTGTTGACTTGAACAAAAATGTTGCACTAATCAATATTGATAAAATAGTTTATTTTTCCAGGTTAGCCAGGCAGCGAATGAATTTTTCGTTGTTCGCCTACTCTTGTAATTTTAATATCCATCATAACGAGTTTTTAAATTTTCTTTTACAGGATATGACGCTTAAATGGCATTCACCTTTAATTTCAGGCAATACTAATTATTATTGCACCTTTTTCGGTTTAGGACTCCTGGACTTACAGTTTGCGTAATTTCAGATGATGAATCATAATTCTTTCCATAAGAATACCCCTTCTGTTTCGCCCACTACCCCCTTGCAATGTCAAACATCGCCGATAGTGCGCATGCACCTTTGAAGGTGACAAGCAAATATTAAGATTATGATTAATCTACGTTATTGGAAGTCCCTTCAATAAAATTATGTTTTTGAGTTGCGAAGAATAAAATTGGAGAATAGTTTCTCGATCAATTGCCTTAATTAAAGTCCTAATCACTGGCATTTCAATGATCTTCTTAACATGATCTTGTCAGTTGATAATGTGGTTATATTGCCAATCAAAAGATCGAGTGCAAGGATGCAAGGATAAATGACCTTACGTGATTATTATTTGATATATTGTGAGGAATAAAATGATTAAGATGTGACGGATATCAATGTGGTTATGGATAACTGAATATGTGGAGTTGAGGTATAAAAGTGTGCGCATGACATATAAATACTAAAATCTGGGACGCCAGATGAATATTAGCATCTGGGACGCCAGATTGCGTTATTGTTATTTTTATTATTAGCATAAGTATTATTATTAGACATATTATCGTATTATTAGCATGGTTCCATATATGTTTTATTGTTATCATAATAATTTGGATGGATAATACTATGCCAAGTTAAAATCTTGCCTGTTAAATGTGACTGTATTCAAGTTTGATGATGATTGTTATAATATAAGTAGTTAAGTTTTTATTGACATGCATTTTTTGCTTCATTCATTTGGATAAATTCGTAAACGCTGGACATAGACATTCGTGGATATACAGGAAACTGTGAACATTTATCTACACGTATGCCAACGTGCGCGAATAAGACGTTTATCCATATACAATGAGTGGCAGATGACAATCGATATGCACTGTCTAGAAGGACTGATTTTACACTATGTGCTAACTGAACTTTCGTGCTAAAATTCAAAATGGAGGATTCAACGGACTATACCAAATGGAACTTTTCATTTGAGTGGATATGAACTTTAAATTTTACGAGTTAATTTTGAGTTATATGTTATTGCATGTGGTTATAACGACACATGAAGTATTGTGTGTTGAATATTAAATACGTTTAGTATTAATAAGATATCTGTATTCAGTTTGTCGGTCTTATAATTATTAGTTATGGATATTTAACTAGACGATTATTGGTACAGGAACAGTGTACTTAGCTTTTACAAAGATGGAGACGTGAAACTGATGATATGCATTAAGGAAGATTCTTACTTAATTATTTTTCGGTATGTTTTTTTTTTTTTTGTTCAATCGTGGATTGGGTTTGATATAGAACGATTGTTTCTCTTATAGCCACCAAAAGAGAGCGCTACAGTGTGGACAAATATGAAGATGAACAGGTACTTCATCATGAACGATGCGCTGGTCGCACCGTTGTGGTGAATGCTGCTCATTAGACAGGGAAGGTACCGCCCGATTGTCTCACTTGGTGCGTTCCTACTAAATCTAAAATGACAACCAAGGAAAAGAGAGAAACCGTAGGAAATGTGTCAGAGCCATAATAAGAGAGTAACAGATTTAAACATCTGCGCAGAGAAAACAATTAATAGTATCTGTACTCTTGGGCCGCACATTACAACATGTAAATGCACATCCACGAACAACCATATTTTCATAAAAAGTTATCAATCTATCTTCCTTTAAGTTATATTTGGGGTTTCATGTCAATTTTATTTCTATCTTATAGTAGGTTTTATAATACAAAATCTATGTACTTAGTTTTGTTTTGCATGAATTTATGATAAAAGACAAATGCAGTGTTTAAGAAAGTTTATTTTTAATTAATGTATATTTTAATTTTAAATATGCCTGGGGACAGGCATATCGTCCCCGGGAGATAATGTAACGTTAGTAAGTGACAGCATGC